GTCTATTATGCAGTAAAACATTATCGCGTTTGCTTATATGGAATCACATTTAAACTTATCACTGACTGCAACTCGCTAAAATTGACTCAGAAAAAAAAAGACTTATTGCCCAGAGTCGCGACGTGGTGGCTCTACCTGCAATCGTTTAACTTTAATATCGAATATCGGAAGGGTAAATATATTCCACACGTCGATTATTTTAGCCGAAACCCACCTCAACCATTTGAAGAAATCGAATGCGTCGCCCCCGTGAATGTTCTTACAACTAATAACTGGCTTAAAATTAACTAAAAGCGCGATCCCGAAACTCGTGATATCAAATCAAAATTACTCGAAGGTCAGCTAACCCTCGACTACTTCTGTCAAAATGAAGTTCTATTTCGAAAAATTAACCCGGGCCAAAACCCACCAATTTGCAGGGCTTTCGTTCCAAAGGGAAGTAGACTCGGTTTGTTAAAAATTTTTCACGACGAACAGTCGCACGTTGGACCGGATAAGACCTTCCCAAAGCTAAACCATTATTTCTGGTTCCCGCGAATGGCACGTTTCCTCAAAAAGTATTGTGACCACTGCCTTAAATGTATTGTAAATAAAAAACACACTGGACGCAAACAGGGACTATTACACCCTATCGAAAAGACCCCAATTCCATTTCACACAGTGCATTGCGACTGTGTAGGACCATTTCCTTTAACATCAGAGGGTTACAAACATGTTCTTCTTTTAATAGACGCATTCACGAAATATTCATTTCTAATTCCATTAATTTCTGGACCTGAGACTTGTAAAAACCTAAAAATTTATTTAAATGTTTTTGGGAACACTAAACGGTTGATAAGTGATAGGGGAACTAATTTTAGCGACCAACAAGTAAAAGAGTTACTCTCAAAATTAAACATTACCCAACATCTAATTGCCAAAAGTGCCCCACGCGGAAATGGGCAGGTAGAGCGATACGTCTCAACAGTTCTAGACCTGCTCAGAGTAAATGTCAATAATAATAAGTCAGAATGGGCGAGCGTTCTCCCCAAGTTACAACTGACCCTTAATACTACTATCCAAAAAACCACGGGATTTTCCCCGCTCTATTTGTTAACAGGGCAACTTATGGATACCATGGACATTCAGAATTTAACAGAGAGTATAAAACCAGTGACGACTACTGATCAAAATTTAATTAATGATCGTAAAACTGCCTACGAACGCTCTCTGCGTTGCGGTTTAGAGTCAAAAGACAGATTTGATAAAAGCCGAAAAACAACTAACAGTTTTAAAGTAGGAGACATAGTTTTCCATCCATCTGGAAATTTGCACCTAGCTAAACTAGACCCTAGATACGAAGGTCCATTCGAAATCTTACAGTTGTTGCCTAATGACCGAGTAGAAATTAAAAATTTGGCGACCAATCGCAAAAGAATTGTTGCTAATGATATGATGCGGGTATGGCCAGGTGAATTTGAATAAGATAACATTTAATAACCATTGTTATTTGTTTATCCCTTTTTGTACATTCTTTTGTTGGTATTATGAGAATGTTGTATGTTATATTTAGAGACATGAATAATGATTATCATTTACGTTGTTGTTATTATAAAGTATTTGTTAGGCTATAACCGTGTGAGCCTTGATATTACAAAATCCTGACAAAATAAATTAATGAAAAAAAAAAGTTTTGGGTTGAAAGACGTGCTCTTTGCATCAAGGTAATAAGACCTTGATTGCTGAAATGACGTGCTCTTTACCTTGCCGGATCATAAAATCTTGCTACTTGTTGAAAGACGTGCTCTTTGCGACAAGGTCATTAGGACTTGATCGTTGAAATGACGTGCTCTTTGCAATGGTGAATGATGTATCGTTAAAAGCTGAAAGACGTGCTCTTTGCATTTAGATCGTGAGGGCCTAAACGTTGAAATGACGTGCTCTTTGCTAATTATATAGTCTAAATGGTATTTTTGTAATATGGGTCAGGAGGTAAAATTCCAGAACGAATTTAGTGTCAGGATTGGCCGTGTGAGACTTTCGCTGAATCGCTACGCTACGCCAATGAAAATGCTTTGTTTACTTATGGCGACCGTGAATATTCCGATGTGCTGCGATGTGTTTTTGTGGGCAAGGTGGTTAGTCATAGTCAGTCTTGTAACAGATGCTGGAGTGAATACATGTGATACAAGTTATGAAGTGTTTGATTTCCCCTAGGAAAATGTTAATTTTCTCACATATACATGTGTGTCTGTGAGAATGAAAAAATATCCTAATCTGTCACACACTTACGTCCCAGGAACTGATACGAAGCTACGTGGAGTTCTATCGGGAGATTATTTATCAGAGAGTTTACAACACCTTCACCCTTGTACGTTAACATGAGAACTGTTGATGATGCGTTAGTAATATCTACATATATACTTTTACACATTCCTTATTCGAACGCCACACGATGAAGGTTGTTCAACAAGAGCAGTCATTACCCATTGATAACTTGGATTTCACAGCAAAAACTCAACATAGTAAACATGGTGTTTCGCGCTATCATCTGAGGACCAAGCGGATGTGGAAAAACGAACGTAATGTTGGCGCTGCTTTTCCATCCAAACGGTGCTAAGTTTAAAAATGTTTATGTTTATTCAAAATCGTTGTATCAACCAAAGTATCAACTGCTTCAAGAAGCGATTTCCGCTGCTAAGGGCGTTGGCTATTTCACATTTAAGGATAACGAGGAAATTATAAGTCCAAGTAAGGCTAAAAATAGCTCTATATTCATATTTGACGACGTGTCGTGTGACGGTCAGCAGAAAATTCGAGAGTATTACTCCATGTGTCGTCATAAAGATATCGATGCTGCATATCTCTGCCAAACATACTCTAAAATTCCAAAACAGCTCATACGAGACAACTGTAACATTATAGTACTATTTAAGCAGGATGAAATTAATCTAAAACATATATTTGATGAGCATGTATCTCCAGATGTTACTTTTGATGAATTCAAAAAGATGTGTTCGGAATGTTGGGCAGAAAAGTACGGTACGTTAGTTATTGTTAAAGACTTTCCTCTTAATTATGGTCGATACAGAGTAGGATTTGATAAGTACATACAATTGTAGGCTTATCATGTACGCCATCATTCAGTAACATGATGTCAAAGGGCCAAGTTGCCGTTGCTAGTCATAAAAGAAAGATCGCAGAACTTGCTCGAGCTATACGTAAAAAGTATCTTACTTTAAAGTTAGGTAGAACTGCAGAAGATGAATCTATTAGAAAACTTTTCAAACCAATATCTAAACCTCTTAAGCAAATAGCTAAGACTCAGCAGCATCCTTCATTTATTATTAAAAAAGAGGAAAAATTGAAGCAGGATGATGATGATAATGATGATGTATTCACACAGAACCCAAACTATCTCAATTTAGAAGACGTGGCTTCAACTGATGAACAAATTAATATACCGCCGAGACCAGAAACACAACCACCACCTGAAGAAATGCGTCCTGCTGATATTTCACAAGAAGCAATAGAGGAATACTTAGATCAATATCCCCCAATAAGCCATAATTATTTACAAGATTTTTGGACACAAAACGATAAAATTGATAAAAATTATGGACCTATATATACCGACAACATTGGTTGGATGTTAGGTAAACGCAGAATTAAATTTGATAGAGCGACTGGCCAAATACAGATATTACCTGAGGGGGCAAACTTAGCAGGTACATGGCTTCGTGGCACACCTGGGCTGTATCAACTTTTATTCTATAATGACCCAAACTATGCAGATGCAGATTTACAACCCTATAAAAATCTATTGCAAAGTACCGGTGTTCATTTAGATTCGCTTGGACGCCTAAAAGGTTCGACAGGATTTAAATATAATCACATTATTAAGCCTCTCTTCAAAGATGTGCAGAAAAATAAAGGTACAATTGTCACACGATCAACATCTACAAAAATACGTAGTCCACTTAGTCGATCATTAACAAGATGCACTCCCTCAACAACAACAACAATATCAACACCAAAACCGCCAACAGGAAAAGGTATCGGTGATTACTTGACATACAACGAGGAACCAATCGAATACGTGTACTGGGATGATCCCAATGAATTAATCGATCGACTTAAACTCCTTATGATATCTCAGGAAGCTGGCAATACGTCGCATGATAATGAAATAGTAGCCATCATCAACGAGCTGAAAGAAGCTAATATAATACAGTAATCTAGTTCCTTGGTCTTTCATTTACACGATGAGTCTTGATAATTTCGGACGTCGCTTTGATAAACAAAAGACACTTCCGTATATGCGTTTACCGCCAAAGTTAACACTACCCCATACTTCTGATGGAAATGTTGACTTCAAGAACGTAAAGTTGTGTAATATAAAAGATCCCACAGATAATTCAGATGTGGCAACTAAAAAATTCGTAGATACTTCAGTGATTGATTTAAAAAAAATAACAGGAAAAACAGATCAAATAACAGAGTTTATTTCGAGAAATCCGCCTACTTCTGGTAAACATATGGCAACAAAAAATATGTAGATGACTCTATTGCAAATATAACAACAAGAATAGAACAGGAATTGGCTACAATTAAGTCTCATACCGATTTGACTCCAATACGGAAAAATATTATTGATTTATCCTCTGAATTACAACTTTTGCAAGGACGCACATTATATATATCATTGAAAACATTTGATCTTGCTAAGCGTATAAAGCCGATGGAACAACAATTTAAAGCGTTAAACCATGATGACGTACGCCAAGGAGAAGATACAACTAGTTAACGAGCTGCACAAGCCTGCTCTAAAAAATTATCTAAGACGACGTACCATCATTAAAGGCTTAATCGTTGTAATCGATTCTTTTTCCAAGTTTATGTGGACTAGACCGTTAAAGACAAAGACGGGTGAGGAGATAACTCGTGGGTTTTCGGATATCCTCGCACATACTAAACGTACGCCGAAAAATCTACAATCTGATCAAGGTAAAGAATTTTACAATAGTAAATTTCAAACTTTAATGAAAAAGCATGATATTAATCATTATAGTACATAGAGCATCAAGAAAGCGGCCATTGCTGAAAGAGCCATAAGAACGCTGAAAAATAAACTTTACAAATACTTTAGCTTAATGGGATCGTATAAATGGATTGATATATTAAGGTACCTAGGTCGAATATGGCCACCTTAAGGTTTCTTTAGTTCTAGTTGGGAATATCATCTGGGTCTGAATCTGCATCTTGCAAGTCTTCCGTGCCCAAATAATTCGTTGATATTGGTATTTCCACTGTAAATAAAATGAATATGCCCGAGAAGCATTTTTTAACTCACCTTGATCCTCGTCATCTGATAGTTCCGAATCCTCGCTGTCAGATGGAATACCGCGAATAAACTGAACTTCAACCCTTTTACGCCCATAAAATGCACCTGGTTTTATTTCAGGGAAATCCATTGTCGTTTGGATCTATAATAGAAAATTCTATTTATTAAAGAATGGAAGACAAACAATTTCCGTTATTGACCTTGGATGCATAATGTTCCCGAGCGGGAACATTAGGGTTATGTTACCTCGTGGCAACAAATATCATCAAAATTAATTACATTTTGTACAGTGTTATTCAAACAATGATAATTAGTAATAAAAAAAATAAAACACTCACCTAAATGCAGCAAAAGAGCTAGTTCTTGTAATAAAAGTGAGATAAAAATCTGGAACGGCCGCTTGCGACGCTGTCAAATCAAATGCAAACCATGAGGTGCTCCTAGCAACATCTATCGGTTGAAAAACTATACGGAACAGTGCCCAATGCCTCAAGTTTGGATCTTACGCATTAAATGGGGATCTAAACGTTAGATGTCGACACTAGACAAGCTAAAACTATAATGTTCCCGTTTGGGAACCATATGCAATAGAGGGTTAATACAACTTTATTTAAAAGATATTGTTTAGGCGACATCCAGTACATTATCATCGTCGTGGTTAGTCCAGACTGCACCGAGTGCATACAAATTTATCTGTATCTTCTTTTGTTAATCCAACACAGTCCTCATGGACATATGTTTCACATAAAAAAAGCATATTCTCATGTCTGCTATTCTGTCCTCATTGCAAAAATAACAGTACCATGAATCTTTAGATTTTTCAGATTGTCCTTTACCACGTGACTGTTTAGAAACCTTCTTCGGAGTTACTGCTTCACTGTTGTTCCTTTTAGCAGAATATTTTCTTTTTTGGTAAGCCACTTTAAATGGGCCTGGTATATTTTCTATTTTTTGTTTAGGAGCATTTGATGGCCCTGACATGTTATTTTTATCTGTAAACATTTTCTGTAAACTATTGATAGCTTTTGCCCTCGGAGCAGTTTTTGGGCTTGACGTTTTCTCTGGAGTTTTTAACATTTGACACAAAGATGTATATGACTCATTAAGTGTTGTGGAGGAGACTAGATTTAATTCAGTTTTTGACTCGATATTATTGTTATGTTGCTTTAGTTTGGACAAAGGAATGTGATCGCTACTGTCGTAATCGTCATAAACACTTGGCAGGGGTTCTATAAAGTTCGATATATCTTCTTGATTTGGGTGCTGTGGATGATCATCAGAGGCGTTGTCTGGAGTTGCAGCACAACGCTTTGCTTGGCTTGGCTGTGAATCTGAGGAATCATTTGATGGATTTGAATTACCTTCATTTGGGAGAGGATAAGGAGAATTTCCACTGGCATCAGTAACGTCGCTTTCATTAGTATCTTCATTTTCCTGAGGAGGAATTAACAGATTTGTAGCGTCGCTGTCGTTAGTATCTCCATTTTCTTGATTTTCAGAAGGAGAAGCTCCAGGTTCTGCGAAATTATGAGTAGGTATGCTGGGAGCGTATACTTCTTCTGGAATCCTATCTGGATTGAATGGGAAAATTCCGGTCGCTTCAAATCCAGCTTTGACATTAGCAGGTGTCGCAGCTTTATCCCACACTTTGGAAAATAATATCCCAAACCTTTGTTTGGTTATTTTCCTGTCCTCGTGAATAGACCAGTATTTTAAAACTTCTTCATCCCAGTAATATTCAAAAGAACGAAATACTGATTTGTCCATGGGCTGCAATTCATGTGTGGTGTTGCTCGGGAGACAGAAAAGCTTGATGTCGAATTGTTCTACTGCTTCAACTGTCGAATAGTCTAAGTGGCAATTCGCTCCATCCAAGATAAGTAAACAAGGTCCTGGCAATTTAAATTTTGCAAAATGGTGTGTCCAGTTCACAAATGTTTCAGAATTCATACTCCCTTTGGGTGTCATTTAGGCTACTGAACCGGTGGGTAACGAATCTATCCATTCTGGCTTCATTCGTTTGCCCTTAAAGAGTATCATGGGCGGAATGACATGGCCTAAAGCGTTGCCACATGAAACTATTGTTACATTCTCGCCGTGTTCGGGTGCTACCAAATGTACTCTCTTGGATCCACGTTCAGCCAAAACTTCTGGTGATTTGTGCAAATTAAGCTGGCAACCTTTTTCGTCAATATTATAGATACGTTCCGGTTTGTTCATAAGGTCATTTTCTACTAAGATTTTCTTCAATTTGCTAAAATAATCGGAAACTACTGCTTTATTCAACTTTTGTGCCCTTGCGGGGTTTAAGCTCTGTGCTTTTCGTCTACTGATATTCCTATGACGTTTTAAAAATCCTCTCAGCCAATCTCGTCCCACCATCAAGCCTCCACTTGGCGCTGGAATGTTATTTTGATCACAGAATGTCTTCACGCATCTACGAAGTACAAAATAAATTTGTCAGTACTTTTGTAGATGAACTTTTATTAATGCATCAGCAACAGTTGGTTACAGGGGATTAAGTAACGAAATGAGTACAGAGAATGGTCGACGACCGGTTTTATATCTCAAGATAACAATTTTCCAGAAATGTGTCGGGTGAAAATGCAAGCTTCACATCCTGTCTCACGAGTATAGAACGGTATTATACTCGTTGGGACTTGGATGATGTTAATGTTATCAGAATACCATAACTCCTCCCCACGGTGAAAAAGATTCGTCTCGAATCAGAATAATTAAGTTAAAGGTATTTACTCAGCTGGTTGAGAAATTGGAGGCGTGGGTGGAACTTTGGTGTCCTTCACATAACGATATTTTACAAATACAATAATAAAGATGATTAAAAATATGAGAATACAAACCAAAATAATAGGATACCCTACGGTAGATCTATAATGTAAATTTTGAAATTTGACTTGCAAAGAAGTAAGGTTTTGATGCAAATAAGAGTTCAGTGAAACATTTGTTTTCTGAAAATGATATTGTGTACCTGTTGCTGCATAAGCTAGGTCTAGCTTAATTTGAAATGTAGTATCAAATTCTAAAATTTGATGATCGACTAAAGTATTACATTCTAAAATAATATGTGTTGCATAATGGATTAAAGAAGTACCTTTACAGTCTCTTATCTTTGTTAATTGATTAGTATTAATTACATAATTATTTTTATTTAATTCTAATATTCTCGTGTAGTTTGTTATGCTTTCAGACTCACACATGTTGAACCTCTGTGGTTGACAGGGAGACTGGAAAGTACTTTTACAAACGTACAGTTGATTACTTAGCTTAACAATGTCAGAACAGTAATAATTCTTTTCATAAGTCAATAAATGCTCACTTGGTAACATAATAAGTTCATGATTAATAGAAATTGCAAATAATTTATACAATGTAAATTCCTTAATATCTAAAATGGGAAACTTGATTACAAATATAAATTCATCTTCTAAACAGATAATAGACATTTGAGAGAGGTCATAGACTTCGAATAAATGCATGGAATCAAATGGCAGCAATTGTTCCTTTTTAAAAATGTTTTGTAGATGTTCAATAAGTAAACTTACTTGATGATGCCTTAATTGCAAAGTATTGAGACCAGATTGTTGGTTCAACTGAATGGCAAGTAATAAAGAATTTAGATAATTGTTAAATTGTTGCATGTTAGTAATAATGGAAACTTGATGTATCATCTGATGTGAAAGTAAAGTTTGCTTTTCAATAGTCTGAGGTCTGAGCATTGTATAAAATAACAGACTGAATACGTTTAGTATTTTCTTCAAAAGTTTTCTGTAGAGACTGACAAAATGAAATAGTCTTTTGCTGATTAATCAATAAGTCATCTTGATTATTTCTGAGAGCTTCTTGATTCTTAGTAATTTGTTCTAAATCATTTTGATCTAAATTTCCAGATATGAATCTAATAACAGATCCTAATCCATTAATTAAACCTCTTCTTACTCTGTGTTGAGTGAGAGTTTCAAATTTGGACATGGTATCATTATACAGATTTCTAATTTGATTGTCTAAAGTTGTGGGAATCTTTTGATGAATTTGAATTAGATTTTGAAAGAGTTCCATGGTATGGCGAATGTCAGTGAGATTAATAGTAAAGTAGACCTTATAATAATGATCAATTAACTTAGCATTTCCTAAACGGATTTGCTGAATTGGTTGCAAGTAACTTTCGGAGTGGATGTTGACGGTAGTGATTGTGGTAATGCATCTGAAACAATACGAGGCGGTTTGAGTTTCTTGATCATATGAGTTCTGTTTTTAACTTGGATTTTTTCACCATTTTTAAGATAGGACATAACTTTATTATATTTGGGAAGGTTTTTGGGACGTCTAGTATGATCTTGTGGTTGCATAAAGACTGGACCTTTGAAAATAGGGATTTTGGAAGGTTTAATACGCGAATTTCGCTTTTCATTAATAGCTTTACTTTTGTCATACATTTCTTGGGCTAATCGAACATGTTTTCGTTTTTGGAACTTCTGAAATTCTTCATGAGTGGCAATGGGATCATTATGGCCATAAAGTAAGTCAAAAGGGGTTCTCTTGGTTTGGGAGTGAATGGATTGATTGTAGATGAGTAATGCATCTAAGAGGATATCAGTGGTTAAGTCTGATGGACGTTCAATTCTCAATGTTCGGAATTTTTCACCTAGAGTTGAATGGAAGCGTTCAATTGGGGAAATAGACGTAGGATTGGCAGTAGAACCAATGTGAAGGAGAATACCGTGTTCTTTGCAATAATCTTTAATGAGATTTGAATTTAATTCACCAGGATCGGCATGAATCGCTTTAGGAAAGGCATGATGTGCAAAGAAGTGTTTCAATTTGCTAAGGATAGTAATTTGATTGGAGGAGACTAAATGGTAAGCTTGGGCGTATTTTGAAAAATGATCAAAGAACGTGAGATACTTGTTCTTCTCAATAGTGAAGACGTCAATAAACATTAATTGGAATGGGGCAGTGGAAAAGAAGGGACCTTGAATAGGTTGAACTAAAGGATGTCGTTCGTATTTTGCTTTGAGACATGTTTCACAAGTATTTATATAATCTGAAATAATAATCTTGGCTCGAGGAGTATAAATTAGTTTTCTAAAGTGTTCATAAGTTTCGTTAATTCCGTTGTGGTTTTTGGAATGATAGAGTGAGATTTGTTCTCTGAAAGTATCTTGTTCTAAATATTGGGGCTTAAAAGCGGCTTTTTCGAAACGGACTTTATGGGAAATTTTGTCTAGGACTTTGTAGAGAGCTGACGTGAAGTTTTCGTCATCATACCAGATTCCGTATCTTGTAGAAGTGGAACATTTGTTTGCCAAGAGGTTAGCAAGAGGATCTAATTGAAAAGGATCAGCATAAACATCAAAATAATTACGAGAGTGGGTAACAACTTTGAATTTGTCTGAATTAATGAAATAAATTCGATTAGGATATGAATAGAAGTTTTTATCTTCTGAAATGGTAATAAGAGTAGGATGCGAATCGGGACTTGAATGTTGGGTATTGGTAGATCGGTTATCGACTTCTACAGGGTTTTCTAAAAGATCGGGGATCATTGAAACATTTCCGTAGAGGGAATCAGTGGAATTAGAAAGTGCATTTATTTCAACTCGGGAAAGGGCATCGGCAACATAATTTTCTTTGCCTTTCTTGTATTGAATTGTATAATTGTATTCTTCAAGTTTTAAGCGCCATCTCGCGAGGCGTTGATTTGGTTCCTTTAAATTGGATAACCAAACGAGAGGTTTGTGGTCAGTTTCGATCACGAAGGGGTTTCCAAATAAGTAAGGGCGGAAGTGTTTGCATGAATCTACGATAGAAAGTAATTCCTTTTCGATAGTAGAATAATTGCGTTCAGTTGAATTCAAAATTCGGGAATGAAATGAAATGGGTTTTCCAATTTGGGAGAGGACTGCACCAATGGCTATGTTAGAAGCATCGGTGGTGAGTGTAAAAGGCTTAGAGAAGTCGGGGTATGTCAAAATTGGAGGGTTACATAGGAGTTTCTTAATGGTATCGAAAGCAGTAAGATATTCGGTGGACTCAAATGGGATTTTCTCACCTTTTCTCAAACATTTCGTGAAAGGCTTGGAAAGTGAAGCGAAATCTTTAATAAATTTTCTATAATAATTGGCGAGACGTAGAAATGACTGAATCTGCTTAATTGTTTTCGGTAAAGGATAGTTGAAGATGGCTTTAATTTTCTCAGGATTAGGCTTAATACCATCGGGTGTAATGATATGGCCTAGGAAAGGGACATCCTTACGTAAAAACTCTGTCTTGTCGAGTTGAATTTTCAAATTATAGGAAATGAGACGTTCAAAGATTTGCTTTAAATGAATCAAATGTTCTTGGAGCGATTTGGAAAATATGATAATGTCGTCAAGATATACAAAGCAGGATTTTCCAAGAAACGGTAGAAGGACAGTGTTCATCATGCGTTGAAAAGTCGCAGGGGCATTTTTGAGACCGAAAGGCATTCGAACGTATTCGTAATGCCCGTTCTTGACAGTGAAGGCAGTT